AAAGCCAAGTTGCTCATCCTCTCACTAAGCCCCTGCCCTGCAATGCGAGTTCGTGCGTTAGCTCAACGAAGAAGCGCGGCTGCAGGTCGTTTGCGCCTCAACAGCTGCGGGACCGCCCTGCTGTTTTTTTGGGAAAGCTGAGGCCGTGGCCTGTATCGTGGGTTTTTGAGTTTTTGGGCTTTTGAGTTTTGTTTTTTTTTTTTTTTGGGTTTTTTGGGGTTTTTGGTGTTTGGGTTTTGTGGGTTTTGTGTGTTTTTGGGCTTTGGGGTGTCGCAGCGGCGCAAGCCTTCAGGACACGATCGATGCCAAGCCCAGAGCGAGCATCTCAGTGAGCCGCTTGTAGCCCGAACCGCTCCCTGACATCTTGGGGGACAGACGTGGTCCTTGTTGCCGCAGTTCAGCGCAGACCGGCGCACTTTTTGACTGCGCCAGTGCTCAGGTCGAAGTGCGGGGCGCGACGAAAACCGTCGTGCACGCGCCAAGGCCTGAAGCCCAAACCCAGAGCGAGAGCTCCTTCGAGGCTCCCCAAGACCCTTCCTTAACATGGCACCCCCCGTTAAGAGCAGTCCCCCACAAGGGCCCCCTTCGTATGTTGTGGGTTTAGGGTTGAGGGTTTAGGTTTTCGGTTTTGGGGTTTAGGGTTGTTGCAAGCTGCTCACGCCAGGTTGCTCCCTATGTCATCTTGGCCTGATACTGGTCAGGGTTACTAAGGTTATGAAGGTTCATTAGGTTTACTGGGGATACGTGGGGGCTACTAGGGTTTACAAGGGCTTAAGGAGGCTCCGCGAAGGGCCTCTGTAAAGGGCATCTCTTATCACTCTTTAAGTTCAGGGGCCTCCCTTCAAAGGCTTCGTTTATCGGCCTCCTTTAAACGGTCGCGTCTTGGCTGAAGGCTTAGCCTTGTTTATTTATTGGTGTGTCTTGGCTTAGTAGAAAATTGTTTTGCTGATGGGGACGTCTTGACTCTTGTCTTCATGTGTTGCAGGTTTCCGGCAGTGAGGTTGTTCTACATGTCCCAGCCCTAAGCTCTAAACCCCAAACCAGAAAAGCCCTAAACCCTAACCCTAAACCCTAAACCTCCTCCTAGACCTGAAATCCTAAAAGCCCGAGTTTAGGGTTTAGGGTTTGGGGATTAGGGTTTAGGGTTTGGGGTTTAGGGCAAACCCTCAACCCGAAACCCTAAAACCCGTTTAGACTAAGAGTGCGCACAGGCATGTTGGGCCGACTCTGGAACTTCAGGGGCCGGACTTTGCGGTGCCCCTGGACAAGGACACACCCTACACCCTACACCCTAAACCCTAAACCCTAAACCCTAAACCCTCTACCCTCTACCCTAAACCCTAAACCCTAAACCCTAAACCCTAAACCCTAAACCCTAAACCCTAAACCCTAAACCCTAAACCCTACACCCTAAACCATAAACCCTAAACCCTAAACCCTAAACCCTAAACCCTAAACCTTAAACCCTAAACCCTAAACCCTCAACCCTAAACCCTCAACCCTCAACCCTAAACCTTAAACCTTAGCCTTCTGAGGAATTGCAGAAGTCTAGGGTATTCCTGATCCCAACTTTTGGGTGGATTTGCTCCTCCGAGGCTTGGGGGTCGGACGATGTCAGCTGCTCTATCTCCCAAAATGTGACTCTCCTATACGCCAGAATTCGTCAAAGAATGATTCGGCCTGCGTTGGCCAGGTGTTAAATGCATGTTTAACGCTGAGTCATGTCATAGTGGAAGTTGATGTTCACCACGGAGAGTGCCAGGGGGTGGAGAGGCTGGAGCCGGAGGAGGCGCAGGGTTTAGGGTTTAGGGTTTAGAGTTTAGGGCTTTATAGGGTCTATAGGGTTCAGGGTTTGAGGGAGTTTAGGGTTTCGGGTTTAGGGTTTAGGGTTCAGGGATTAGGGTTTGGGCATGTTTTTGTTTTTGCCCCTGACTTGAAGCTGCCAAGGTGTTGCTGTAGCAACATCGGCGGGCAGTTGGCTGGACCATGAGAGCTGAATTGCAGCACAGAGTCTGCGCAATCACTGGGGCTTGAACCTGTAAAAGCAGAGGGGTCCCCTTGTGATGACATCTGCCCTGTAGGGACAAAGGAGACTCCCCTGGTTCGGGCTACCAGGTTGGTCCACCCTGATAATCCGATTGTTTGCTCATTCTGCGCGGCCTTTTCTGCCAGGTCTTCCAGCTGCTGAAGCAGAAGAAGTGTGCCCCTCAGGGTGAGCGCAGCCTCCAGCTGGAGTCGGCCAGGGCGCGCTGTATTTCCCTCAGTGTTCAGAGGTTCGCTCCCTTGTAGTCTCTCACTTTGTTTTTTGGGTTTTCCATGGCCCTCTAGGTGGGAATGATTTGAAGAGAGCTCTCAGGTGCGTTCTTCTGGATGTCCGTGATGCGGACCGCAGCTGCGGCTTCATCGAGGCCAGTGGCGGATGACTTTTTGGGTGTTTGTGTAGAGACCTGCGGCTTAGAGAGCCTTGCTTAGAGGTGACGACTGGGTGCACGCTTTTTGCCAGTTTCTGTGGCAGAATCCCCATGCAGGGCGCGCTCCACGAGCCGACGAGCTTCCAGAACCCCCTCTTCAAGCGGGCCGGGCAGCCTCGGGTTTTTGGAAGATCTTTTGGGATGTCGAGGCGGCGCACGCGGGCTTCTTTGCCTCCAGGTGCCCGAGCTCGTTCAGAAGTACCGCGGAGAGCGGCTTGTGGCCCGGAGCCCAAAGCACCTGTGGTGGTCTCAGCATTAGCAGTACCTTGCCTCCTTACCTCGGCAAGCGTGCCTCAAGAAGTCTGAGTCTGATTGCACACGCCGTGGAGTGAGTGCCGCAGCAACTGACGTGACCGAAGTCGCAGCGTGTGCTCCGATTGCTACTTGGAGGTTCATGAATACGCATAAGTAGGGCACAAAGCAGGGTAACTATGGTTGAAGCTTATAACCTTATTTGGGGTGCTTGTCATCCTGCTTGTAATGCTACGCTGCTACACTTATAAGTCCCCATGAAGCTTCAAGCGCGGCATGTTCCGAGATCTTCCACTGCCAATTTTCCCTTCATCGTGGACCTCAGCCGGGCGCCAAGCCGAAGGTTTGTTTTCTACCTTGCGGCTGGCGCAACCCTGAACCCTCAACCCCCAAAATCCCTAAACACTAAACGCCTGAACCCCTGAACCCCCTCAACCCCTTAAACCCCTCAACCCCCTCAACCCCTCAACATTCAACCCTAAAACCCTAAACACCTGAGCTTAAGGTTGACCCACCTTGCCACCCACCCCGCGAATCCCTCGAGGTGTGCCAACTGGTACCGAAAGCAGGCCGACCCCAATCAGCGTGGGCCTTAGGTGCGACATATTCTGATGTGTTGGGTGTAGAGTTTAGGGTTTAGGTTTGAGAGTTAGGTTTCAGGTTTAGGATTTAGGGTTAGGGCTTAGGGCGGCCTGTAAGTGGACTTCGGCAGCAAGGACGACTTGCGCGTGACTTCGCAGCTAAGATGTTGAAGGCAGCTTCATCCGGAGCTCTTTTCTCGCCACGTCTGAAGAAGCCGGAAGGAGGAGAGGCTAAAATCACAGGGGCCCTGGCTAGCGTAGGTCCGACTGCACAAAAAGGAAGTCAGCGCAACCCTCCCCGAAACACCCAAGGGTACTCAGACTCTCAACCCTTGACCTGCACAAGAAGCATTTTTCAACGCAATCCTACACATGGGCCCGTAGGCGTCGAAATCTGCTGGAAGGAAGCCCCAAAAGGGGCCCATATTTTAAGAGACCCCCTCCCCCCAAATGCATGTACTTATTTCGCTGCTAAGTATTACGAGCACGATTGATCATACATGTGTTCTACATACCGGACCAGAACGCTAAACCCTAAACCCTAAACCCTAAGCCCTGAACCCTAAACCCTAAACCCTAAACCCTAAACCCTAAACCCTAAACCCTAAACCCTAAACCTTGCCCAGCCCTGCTGGGGTTTACAGTGCATGCCCTTATATGGGCGGGCTTGCTTGGAGAAAGGGAGTCATTGCATAAAAAAAAAACCCTAAACCCTAAACCCTCAAGAGACAATTAGAGAGTATTTATTTGTGATATCATTGGTGAATTTCACAGGTTGCAAAAAATGAATGGGAGGCCACAAAAGGCCCCAAGAGGACAGAAAGGCCGCGGGAGGCTGCAAAAGGCCCCTCCGCAAAAGGTTCCGGCCTGAAAAGAGGGCCCGGGTCAAAACGTTTCGATCAAAACGCTATAGGGGCCCAAACCCAAGACAGTTTCTATCAACCCTAAGCCCAGAAAGCTTAAACCGTAAGCCGAAAGCCTAAACCCAAAGAGTGGTTGCCGGTGGAAAGGCGCGTTGGAGTTCTGGACCGCGGCTTCCGGGGCTGGCAGCAGCAGAAGCTGCCCGTGGGGGCACCCGGGTCGTGATGTTAGCTAAACCGTACACCTGAAACGGTTTAGGGTTTAGGGTTTAGGGTTTAGGGTTTAGGATGGTTTAGGGTTTAGGGTTTCGGGTTTAGGGCCTCAAACCCCAATGGCTTTCCAGGCCTTAAACCCCAAACCCTAAACCCTAAACCCTAAACCCTCAACCCTCAACCCTAAACCCTAAACCCTAAACCCTAAGCCATTGGGCCATGGATGTGAGGATCGCGATTCCACGTGCTGGCTAGCTAGTGTTGGTACATGTTGCCACCAGGTGCCCTTCTTCGTTCTTGGCCTGAGCGGGGCCCTTTTGCCCCTTTTTCTGGGTTCCAGGTTCCCTTGGAACAGGAGCCAACCCCGCAACGTGGTGCCCTTGATTATGACATGGTTACTGGGCTACCAAAAACTTGCTGAGCTCCCTTCTCCAGAAGGGCTCCGATCCAGATGCGGGTACCATACCCAATGACCTAAGATGGAACAAGGCATGACCAATAGGATCCTGTGCCAAGATTCGCTCACCAAATAAGCCCTAAACCCCCCCTGAACCCTGATCCCTAAACCCTACACCCTAAACCCTAGACCCTAACCCTAAACCCCTAAACCCGCGCGACTGGAGGTCGTGCAATCACATCCGGAATCTCAGATTCAGGCTCGACACTTTGACGCCCGTGAGCGCCGGCGGCTGTCCTGCTAGCCTTTATCGAAAGCTGTCCAGGGTTTTAGGGTCGGTCTCGGGTTCACCGTTTAGGGTTTTCAGGGTTTAGGGTTGTCAACTCGCTAAGAAGGAACCACAAGGTTGGAGCCTTGAGATGCAGACTCCACACTCTGCACCCCAAACCGCCTGTCATGTTGGGCACCAGGCCGCGGCCAACCGGCACGCCCTGTCCGTGGGCAGGCGCATGGCAGGCGATGGCCCCGGGGGCTCTGGGGAGGGTCACACACTCCCTCTTGGGGTCCTCGGAGGGCACTTAGAGATGCAACTCCTGCTTTTTTGGGAGGTGCTGGAGCATGAAGCCCTCGAGAGGCACCGAGGGATGAGGTTTAGGAGTTGACGGGTTTAGGGTTTCGTGCGTTCGAGGGCTCGCTGCAGTCATGCAAAAAACGATGGCGGCGACGGAGTGAGACTAGGTGAACATCCCCTCTGGCCTGCATAGGAGCCTAGACATGTCCGTCCTCATGTCACATGTCTGTCTCGGTTGCCATCTTCTCCTCGAAAGTTTTGAAGCATCCGTCGCTACATTGAGATCGCATGACGCGCTACACGCCTGTTCTACACACCAATGGAGAGGTCTCATGCTTGAAATGGCGGATCAGACTCCTCCACAAATTCCGGAGGTGTGCCGACCCATTCGGACCTCTGCCACAGGGGCATATCTTCACTGGAGGCGGGCTGACGATCAGATGGCATGGTGTTGCATCCCGTAAGCGCTTCTAAAGTAGGAGGACGGCGCGCGGAAGACTGGTTAACTTATACAAGTGCCTTTGTGATGAGCATGCCCGGCAGGCAATCTCCGAATTTCTACTGGTGTCTAGACCTGCGTGGGGCAGCAAAGCAGCTCCAGTTTCATGCAAGACTGCAGTGACGTGTCGGTGCAGTGACGTGTCGGTTCCCAAAAGGGTGCACATGCGCAGGAAGGCAGGCAGGTGCCGAGGTGGGTCAAAAGTCGCTGCAATTGCAGCACCTCATCGTTTTCAATGCGTCTGTCTTGGTAGCTGAGCAGCAGTACCCTGTTGCCCTTGTGTTGCGTTCCAGGGTCCCTTATGCATGTGAAGCAACCCCGAAAAGGGTGCCTTTGTAACAACATGGCAAGGCTACCACGGATTTTGCCGTCGAACGTGGGCAAAGCTCCCCTCTTTGTAGGACATGCTTGAACTCTTGAAGGTTCATGGTCACTTATAATGAGTAGGGATACAAACTACGTAGGGTTATAAGTAGGGTAGCCATGGTTATGGCCTTATTCAGGGTACTTAGAACCCTACTTCTAAGTACCTATGACCCTTCAAGTACTTGACGCGAAAGACCATGGGCCAACTCGCGGCGCACTCTGTACTGTACAACTTAGAGTTAGAGCTTAGGGTCTTCGTGGTTGGTAGGATTTAGAGGGGCCTTTTTGAGGGTTTAGGGGGTTTAGGGCGTTTACGGGGTTCAGAGGGGTTTAGAGGGGCTTTAGGGAGGTTTAGCTCAGTTAGCCCATGGTCCAGGGCACGGGCTCTTTGAAGTTGTGTCGGCAAGGGGGAGGTCCAAAGTACCCTCCTCCGCCCGTGCATCGCGTTCTCAGCGACATTCTCCAACAGAAACGGGCTTCAGTTGCGGAAAGCTTAGAACCGTGTAGGCCAGAAGTTTCATGCTGTAGGCATAGGGGTATTGCAGGGCGATTGTTCAGGGCATCATAGGACGCTTATAGGATGCGGCGACCACAGTGGTATTTTATATATGTACTGGGTCGATACAGGGCGCATTTAGCATCATTGTAGTGTGATGTTCGCGTCAGTGTTGGGTGACTATTGGGGTTATTGGCCATGGCAGGGTTATTTATCGTGTCTCTCGCAGGCCCAGTGCACGGTGCTCATGGACACCAGTGGTGACCTCAAGAAGGGGTCGTGATGGTCACCATACTCGGCCTGCACCCCTTCGACGGACGGACATCTGGCTCGAGACTGCAGCAAACTGCAGTGAGCCTCATCCGCATTCCGAGGATAGGAGTCTCGCGGCCCGGATCTCTGCTGCAATGCAGACCAACGTGCGCGACTCAGATCGGTCAACCCTAAAACCCTTTTCGGGTTTCGGGTTTAGGGTTTAGGGCTGAGGCTAGGCCGGTAAACCCTAAACCCTTAACCCTAAGCCCGAAAGCCTGCATGGGCGTATACATTGAAATGTCGCATTTCTTCATGCCCACGCCTCCTTGGCAAGAACGTGGGCTACACCGGGCTGTTGTGGACTTGTGGTGGTTCCACCCCTTTTTTAGGGTGCTTAGTTTTAGGGTTAGGATCTGTTATCTAGAAAAGTAGGTACCCTAAAAAAGGGGTAGGGTATGCCCCTCTCTAGGTACACCCTGAACCCTCAACTCTGGCCCATAGGCCTTGACGGATGTGGCGCGGCTAGGTTGCCAGACGTCAAAAAAAGAACCCTAAACCCTAAACCCTAAACCCTAAACCCTAAACCCTAAACCCTAAACCCTAAACCCTAAACCCTAAACCCTAAACTTAGTGAGGGGTCGCTTCCGTCGAGCGACAGACCCCGAACGGCTTGGCCGAGGGCTCACAGCCCGAGCGCCCATACGAAAAGAGCGGGCTGTGGAGAGGTGAGGGTAAAGCCTCACCGGCTTGTCCTGTACAGACCAACGACCCTGGCCTTGCTTCCGGCCTAAGGATGGCCGTATCCAGACCACCTTTAGTGTTAACTAAAGTAGAACCCCAAACCTCGGGCCGTTAGGGTCGTTTAGGGTTTTGAGGGCTTGCCCGGCCCCCTAAGCCCCTGGCTGGACTTGCCCTGGTGGCTGGATGCTCCGCCGGTGTCCTCGAAGTAGGCGCCATTTCTAGACGCGGAGTCGTTGGGGAACGCCTAGGCCTTGAAGACATCACTAGGGGTTAGGGTTTAAGGTTTGGGTTAAAGGTTTAGGGTTCAGGGTATTCGATGCTATGGCCTGACAAAAGTGCATGCAATATGCGATGTAGGAAATGACAGGTCATGCTCTACACCTCCCACAACCGCAAAGCGCTGAACACACTAAAGCCCTAAACCCTAAACCCTAAACCCTAAACCCTAAACCCTAAACCCTAAACCCGAAACCCGAAAACCCTAAAACCCTGAAACCCTATCCCTAAAACCCAGGGGCACCCATCTAACCCCCCAGCCCCAACTGCACAGATTGCCTGCCAGCAGAATTCCTGTTCGCACCGCACGTTGACCCAGAGTGTAGACACGAGGAGATTTTGTATGAACATAGGTTTCAGTAGAGGGGAGGTAGTCGAAACAATGGACAACCGATTCCCAAACACAAGTGCCCAGGACTGTCAAAGGCTAAAAACATGAACTCCAAATGCCTAAAGGCCCTAACCCCTAAACCTCCAAACCTTAAACTGTGCCCACACTTTCCCAAATGGTCCAAAGTACCTATTGTGTAGAATGTAGCGTTTCTATATTCGGAATTACTATTATGATTTGGGGAAGTATCCCCCCCTAATCGTACCTAGGCCCCTTTGGGTTTCAAAGCCTGGGTCATTTGCTGAAGCCTCGTCGTTCTCCAACCCATCCACTAAGGTTCTGCACGGGCTGTGATGGAGCCCCTGAGGGAGGTCTAGGCACAAGCAGGGTCTAGGGTTTTGGGGTTGGGGCTGTGGGGTTTAGGGTTTAGGGTTTTTTGGGCTTTGGGGTTCAGGGTTTTCCGAGAAACCAGTACAAGCAGGGTTTAGGGTTTAGGGCTTTGGGGTTTAGGGTTCTCCGAGAAACCTGTGCAAGCAGGGTTTAGGGTTTAGGGCTTTGGGGTTTAGGCTTTTCCGAGAAACCAGTACCAGTAGAACTTAAGGAGCAATTAAGCGGGTATTTTTGGTTTCTGAGTTATGCTTATCGACATCTGGTGCGAGAGAGTCGGGGATCCAACCCTAAACTCCCAAACCCCCAACCCCAAACCCCAAACCCTAAAACCTAAACCCTGAACCCTAAACTCCCAAACCCGAAACCCTAAACCCTGAACCCTAAACTCCCTAAACCCTAAACCCTGAACCCCAAACTCTGCCAAACCCTCAGCCCTAAGCTCCCTTCCCCAACCACCATTTGCAGCTCGACGCTGGCCAGCTTTGGCCTCGAATCCCATTTTGGGTTCAGGGGTTGGGCTCTCCCCTACTTGAGGTTTGGGGTTTAGGGTTTAGGGGTTTAGGGGTTTAGGGTTTTAGGGTTTAGGGTTTAGGGTTTAGGGTTTAGGGTTTAGGGTTCAGGGTGCCAAAAAGCAGCCACCACAACTTCGACACCTGCATAGCGGGATATGGCTCAGAGCATGAGCACAAGCACAGAGTCCACGACGTACGTCACATGCTTCGGAAACGTCCTGTACCTGGCTGCATGCAGAACAGAAGTAAAGAAGCACGAAGTACTTTGCCATGTAGTGCAGGAGTGGGGACAACTTGTAGTGATGGGCGGCGGAAGCCCAATCGCGTGCCCCTATGATGCGATGCCCTCTTCCGGCTTCATGATCAGAGCGTGGATGGCAGCTCAGTGTGCCACCGAGGACGGCTCCAGCCATTTCGTTGAAGATTCTGCCGCCTACTGCAGTCTGCCTTTAGACGTGAACAACGCAGCCAGCTTGCTGCTTGAAGATGGCGCGGCCGTGTCAGCTGATGCGTTGACCGTGCGCGCGCAGAATGAGCTGCTGACCTGGCCTCCTCCACCGGAGGCTAGGTCTCTTCTGCGCGTGGTGCATGTGCTCGAGGCCAAAGAATGTGACGTGGTGCGTATTTCATATCGTCATGGAGATCTGGAAGCTGCTGCGACTGTAATGGCAGAACAGCTCATCATGGCGGAAGACCCTTCGGGAGAGCCAGAGGAGACCAAGGCGGTAGACTTGAGATCTGGTCAGCAATTGCACAGTTTCACATCCCCGCTCACAGTTACAAGCGCGAAAACGGAAAGAGCGAAAACCCGCGTAGTGGTAGCCGCTGTGAACGGCCGCTATTTTATGGGAGATCCGGTGGCCGAAGCACCGCTCGTCACACACTTTGAAGCGCGAGGCTCCCAAGCCCGCCATAGACGGTACAGAAACCTAGGGTTTAGGGTTTAAGGTTTAGGGTTCAATGTTTAGGATTTAGGGTTTAGGCTGTATTTAGGGTGTTAGCGTGTTCAACGTGTTCTGTTGTCTGTTTTATAGGTTGGCCCTAACAACTGCCAGCTCATTCCTTTCCGCTGCCTCGGGTTCCGGCTCACGCTGCTTGTTCTTGACAGTAGGCACAATCTTTCAATGGTCGCTTTAATGTAACTCTTGCGCGTCCCACTTGCTTGTTTTTCACAGGTGAGCAGGACAACATTTATTCGAAAGCCCCTGTTCTCCCCGTCTTCGCGACTTTTGCGAGTTTACACCCCGTTACTGTTAGGCCAGATCGCCGCCAATGTGGTGGGAAGGACCTATCAGCCACGTTGGTTATGCTGTTATGCTGCTGAGGATCGCGAGCACGCCGGGCCTGCGATGCACGCCTTGGCAGTGACGCATCTTCAGCAGCTCTTTTCCGCGTCGCGGGACGAGTGAAGCAGTGACGCTGGATTGCGAGCACGCTTCTCTCGCCCAGTTTTGCAGAGCTTCTGTGCACGCTGCCGTGCGGAGAAACAAGTGGCCTCGCGATGCAGTGGAAGCTGGTAGTTCGCGCAGCGCGTAGCAGCCGAACCATGATCAGCGATGCGCAGGGTCAGGCCAAGCTCCTTTTGCCCCTCAAGGGTATATATATATATATATATATATATATGTAGGGCCCTAATTCCCTCATTACTCAGAACCAGGGGGTAAACCCCTTAAAGCCTCTACCCTGGTTGTTGTCAGGTTGTTGTGGTGGAGACTCAAGTTGTAAGTCCAAGGCGGCTGAACACCGAACCCCAAATTGGCAGCACAAGGCACATGCCAGTTGAAGGCTTCCCAGAGAAAGTGGATACCCCCCACGTCGAGAGTGCTTTGGGATGTTCCCCCTTATACGAACAGTCCTTCATAGGGATCATAATAGGGTGCGGGTACTAGAATCCCTGCCGAGGACTGTTAGAAGAAGGGGGAACATCCAAACCTAAACCCTAAACCCTAAACCCCAAACCCCAAACCCCAAACCCCAAACCCTAAACCCTAAACCCTCAACCCTAAACCCTAAACCCTAAAATCCTAATTTACGGAATACTCCTTGAACCTGAACAGGGCTCCAGATGTGATTTTCGGAGTAGAGTCTCTTGGTCAGATCGGCCTGAAACCCGAAAACCCTTAAAACCCTAAAAACGCGAAGCTGACCCTGAACATGAGGCCCAAGAAACCCTAAACGAACCGTAAGAAGCCTAAACCCGACACTCTAAATTAACCTTAGACCCAAGACCGAACACCCTAAACGAACCTTCAACCCTAACCAGGCCCTAAACCCTAAACCCTAGACCCTAGACCCTAAACCCTAAACCCTAAACCCTAAACCCTAAACCCTAAACCCTAAACCCTAAACCCCTAAACCCTAAACCCTAAACCCTAAACCCTAAACCCTAAA